CCGCACACCCCCCTCAAACCCACACAATCTCCCAGAAAAACCCCCATAACCCCCCAATAACCCCCCACAATATCCCAAACCACTCCACAACACTCACCCAAAATAAATAAAAATAATACCCATTCACACGACGATCGAGTTGTTTGGTGCACTCTTAGACCCCTTCCAAGAATGGAAGAGGAGCCCCTCCACCACGACAAGGTGGTGCACCATCGGAGGGGGCTACAGGGTGTACCTGGTGCATATAATGTAGCGCAGTATGAGCGCGCACCCAGGAGGCGTTCTCAGAAGGAGAAGGGACACCGAGAGCGGGAGAACTAGAAGAGTAGGGAGAGATATAAAAGGCCGTGTGGAACATGAGAGAGGGCTTTTTTCTTTTCTTTTTTTTTAATTATTAAAGGAGATAGTCGCAAATATAACATCTTTTGCGCGTTTAAGAGATTCGCGACGGAAGTAATAAGAAAGGTTACGGTTAGCATTGGGTTACGGTTAGCATTGGGTTACGGTTAGCATTGGGTTACGGTTAGCATTGGGTTACGGTTAGCATTGGGTTACGGTTAGCATTGGGTTACGGTTAGCATTGGGTTACGGTTAGCATTGGGTTACGGTTAGCATTGGGTTACGGTTAGCATTGGGTTACGGTTAGCATTGGGTTACGGTTAGCATTGGGTTACGGTTAGGGTTACGGTGTTCCAGCTTTTTTGCAATTTTTTATTACGGAAATCGAAAATTGGTCACGCGAAACGGATTCTGGCGTTTGTTTCGCGTCGATATCTATCTCCGTTCCTTAGTTATAGGGGTGCAAAGCGCCCCTTGCATAAGAACCGCCTAGCCATAAGTCCGATAGTTATAACCGCGCCGTAATAATAAGACCTGATAGTAATAAGCCCGCTAGTGCTAGCCGCACGTTAGTACTAAGATCCGCCTAGTAATAAGTTCGCTAGTTATAACTGCCCGTTAGTAGGCTTGCCTAGTAATAAGTCCGCCAATTCTAATCGCGCCGTCAGCGCCTGTAAACAAAACCAACACCGCCTGCCTGCCGCGCCTGGCTTCCGCTTCTCGCCGCTTTGCGCTTCACGCCTGCGCGCTGCGCTCCGCAGATCCTGCGACCAGCATTCACCGCCCGCTATCGCCAGACCCTGCACGCTGTATCTGTCTTCCTGTAACTAAATAAACTATCTCTTTCTACATATACTGTGTCTCGTAAGCTTGAGTCTCCCCTCCTCTCGAACCCGG